AATTACTATCAAAATATGTAATTTCACTTTTTCTCACTTTCGCGCCGTTAACTACATTTTCGAATTATATAACTTATGTTTATATTTGAAAAGAACTACTTCTAGCTTAAAAATGTTAACGCGGTAGTGGCTAGTTATCGGAAAAGTGCTAAACTAAAATGCGCACAATTATCCGCTGTACACCATTACCCTACATTTTTTTGCTGAATATACATATAGGTTAAAAAATATTTAAATAGCAAATAATATTAAGAACATTGCAGATGTGAGAATCAAAGAAACAGATCATATATTACTCTACGGTAAAAATAAAACATGTGCGCGTACGCAGGGAGATAAAAGCATTCAAACTTACAAATTATGTTATGAGATTGTTAAATAAATAATATTGCTTAGTTCTTATAATAGTTCATTGGTTACGTAATGAACTTCTCAAAGCGAAATTCGTATCGTCTATATATAAATGAATGAAATTCAAATTTAATCCCGCTATAATTAGCTAATTAATCGTATAGCCGCTAATCATGTAATGAGCAATTTAACATTCACAATAACATCTATCTAATACTTAAAAATTTGCATAATTTTGATAAAGATATTATTTTATGAGACTCGGCAAGAAATTGTAAGAAAAAAAAGTTTTCAATGTAATTGTAAAAAATAAAATATCTTATATATAGAATAATACTTTTTTCAACGTGTAACTTGGAGAATAACATTTTTAAAAATATTCGTACGAGCAACCATTCATCATGTAGGAGGCGACAAGCCGAAAGTTATTAGTCGTTAATTATTGGACGTACGTGACACTCTGGCAGCCCTTTAATTAAATCGTTTTTCCTTTTTGTCATGAAATACTTGTCGCAATCGCAATTTTTCAACAGCTTCATCACTTTCGGATGAAAAACGCGGATACTGAGACATTTTGCGACAGTCGTAGACTCTAAATTTTAGAAGTACCTGCTCAAGTACAGACATATGTGCATTTATATGGGCTATAATCTTTAATTATTATAATAATGTTCCCCCAATTTGATTCTCTAATAGATATATTTTAGGACAACTATTAGGAAGATTACATATGAGAGTAGCGTCTAATTGATAATAATTCTATAATTTTTTGTCTGATGTAATTGTCTTCTGCTCTTTATTACAAAGACGATCAATAAAAAGTAGAGCTAATATTCCTTAATTCTAATTAATATAAAATAATATTTTCGAAATTAACATAAATTACATCATCTTAAAAAGAAGATTACAGAGTTGATAGTAGTTTCTCATAAATCTTCTTTTATAGATTACGTTGTCGAATAGATAAAACGATTTTAACGTTTTTATATTATATTGGAAGAATAAGCGTGCGCGTCCGGTAAAGACAGCTGGGAAAAATCACCGATTCTTGTATGTAATTTCGGTGAGAACGGGAAAAAGGAGAAAAAAGTCGAGAAGGCTGATGAGAAGACGCACGGTACAGCGTCATGACGTTGACATTTCTAAAAAATAGTCAACCCCTTTACAGTTTTACCTTTGTCGTTACGCTTTCGAATTCTTACTCACGTCTACAGGCAATAACTCCCACTCACAGTTATAAGTCTACTGAAAGGTCATCGATAAAACTCGACTATTTTGTGGATAATTGCGAGTGACGCGTTCGTCCGTTAATGAAAGACGGATACGCGTCGAGAACTTTCCCACGATGGTAGAAAAATTTTGCAACCTCTCTGGAGAAACATATTCCCTGATTTCTCTCGCAACGTACATATGTTCCATATGCTTGCAACATCTCTGTTTGTTTACAGCTGATTTTTCTGGAATAATTTGAATTCAACTTTTTTGTGTCCATAGATTTTATAAATCATTTGAACGATGGATTTTTTAGGGCGGTATTCATAGTTCTTATTTTAAGATCATCTTAAGATGCTATTGCAACTCTCTGATTGGTTCATGAGTCTTAAATATAAGATCCGACTATGAATACCGGTCTTAGATCCATATTCGTATCTCACTTTTATCGATAAAATGCGCGTCATCTATTTCTAAGATTCTATAGTATATGTCATGCTTCTATAGTATTGTATAAACATATAATATATCTTATTGTATAAACATATAATATATCTCTTACTTTAAAAGTGATACAATTAAAAAACCAATAATTTTCGAGTTATTAGCATGAATGAGTTAAATAAACGTTACGTCCTATCAAACATATTTTTCTATCAAATATAAAAAATAAATCTTATTAAAAAATACCTAAAATCATTACAATTCATAATGGATTGTTTTTCTAAATCGTTTGTTTTTCTAAATCCTCAAAATCGTTACAATTTAAAAAGATGATTTTTTAAAGACTTTGAAACGAAAATGACAAACGAGATTTCATTTTATTAAGAATATATTAATTTTTTCTCTACTAAGATTATTTAATTAATTAATAACTTTCTGTCAAGTTGAAAAATAGTTTTCTCTTTTTCTGGGAAACCTAATTTTTCTTATGTCACTTTTGAAGTAAGAAAGCAATATGTTAAATTTATCGATAAAAGTGTAAGTGGGATATAAATATAGACCAAGAGTTACTTATTTTTACGAGAAACTTATTGAATTAATTGAATTTTATATATATATATATACATTGTAGGTCTCTGAAAAATGTCTTTAAAAACTAGTCAACGTTGCTAATAAAATTTTATATTGTTTTTTATTTGAATATTTCTTTAGATTATTATTGTTAATCAATTTTAATGTGACTCCGTTGAGAATGCATTATAATTTATTACTTACATATATATAAGTAATTCTATAAAATTCAATATAAATTATTATATAAATTAATTTATAATTCTGTGATAAATTATAACATTAGAAGTAGAAATGAATTTTCATCTCTAGAGTTATCTTCTCCACTGAATCATCGACTTTGTTCACCCAGCCCGACGCGACGCCTTTATTCCCAGCTACACCTGTTATGCCGTCAAGAACCTGTTGAAATGCGAACTGTAAATTAAAAGAGTTACATGAGGCATTAAGTTAAATATGGTAAATCATTGTAACTCAATGATCTTTGTATAATTTCTTAATTTTGATCTGTGAAAATTTACTTATTTTGGAGAATGAACAAAGATAAAAACAAATTTTATTTCTATAATGAAACTTTTATTTTTCTAGAAAATACGATGACCATAATTTTTGAAGATATACTATTTGCTTTACCTTTTTTTAGCGAAACAGAATCTAATAATAATAGATAATAATACTTTAATTTTATTTCGATTAGTTCAACTTTACTTTATTGTTTGACTTTACCTCTAAAAGAAAACAGATATTTTAAAAACTTTTTATTAGAAAAATAAATTAAAAATTCTTACACAACTTGTCTCATTATTGTAGCTTTATCTGTGTAAACTCAATATTTATGCAGATAAAAGTATATGTAATAACAAAATATGCGCTTTTTATTTTCTTAAAATAGGTTTTCGCGCTACTTTCTAGTATCAATAGACAGTTTATTCATAATAATACGTAAAACAATTAAAATAATGGAATAAAAAGATTACTAACAATATCTTATGCCATTATAGATAATTATTGTTAATTTTATATGCTGTTAAATATTTTCAAAATAACAAAATAAAAATTATAAGATGCTCATTTGCATCGTCCATTTGACATATATTCTAGCTTTTTTTATTGAAGAATATAAATTTCTTGTAAACTGTCAATTTAAATGAAACGTTACGAGAACAAATTTAAGTGTTTATTTTATAATTATAACTAGATTTTTAAATTATTGTCTTATATGCAAGTGTATTAATTTAAAAGAGAATAACTACAGAATAAAGTTATACCTTCAACTTGTAATGTCAAATTCTATAAATTTAGTATTAAATATCTTCAAAATGGTACGGTAAAAGTCAATGAAATTTTTTCTAGATATTATTGATTAGGTATTACATGTATATTATAGACTTGTCTTATATTTCATCAAACGCGAGAATCTCCTTAAGAAAAGAAGACAATATCGATTCATTAATTTTGCGATTATTAAAGCCTTCTTGTAAGCATTAATTAATTTACAAATAATGGTTTAATTAATTTTTCATTGGACTAAATGTTTTATTACTCAATCAAAAGAAGGAACATTTCACTCGCATGATACTTTTGTTAAAATGCGCAATAAACGCATTCGGAATGTTGCAGTTTAGAATTAAAGAAGATAAGCAAGTAACTTCCTAAATTCGACTTATCTTTTCACTAACTTTGTGCAAGCCGCTTTTTCAAAGGAAAAGAACACTTTTTTAATTATCATTCGTTATACATAAGGGTAAACAAAAAACTTGTGTGCTATCATGATTTATGTTTCTTCATTAACTTCATATTACTTCATATAATATGTTATCGAGAAAGAGGCCGGTTATAATTATCTTTCATTGAGGAAGGTAATAGTAAACCCCCTCCTCCCTCTAAGCTGCTGCCCAACTTGACGTACCCGCACGGCGGAAGCGCAACAGTGGAGAAGACGCCTTTTAAGTAGACACGCGGTCGGTCTCCTCGCGCGAGTCTTCGTCTTTCTTACGCGCGCCGGGAAAGTATCGGCGCGGGCGCCTGCGTGCAGAAGCGAAGTATATAGGAGCGTGGTCGCCCGCCGCCAGCGTCACATTGCATCCCCCGACGTACGTCCTTCAGCTTCGTCGAAGTCCCGACACCCCCAGTGGCGGTCGGTGCTCCCAGCTCCGAGCCGAGGGATCGGCGCCACCTCAAAGAACGCCACGTCGCGCCCGATCGACCGGGATCGAGCAGACGTCTCTGTGACATCGAGAGATATCCTCGTCTTCCGATATCAGGGCTTGTTCTCGGGTCAAGGGACATCTTTTGCGCGATCGGATATCGTTGCGAGCCGATTTCTCCTTTCTGGAAATCCGGCCTCAATCGCCGCATGTCGTAAGCTGAGATAGTTTCAACATAACATCCGGCGATAGGATTCAAGATTGCACGCCGTTAATATGGGCATTAGCTTCATTTTGTTGGTCGTGGTGGCTGTGGTATCGATAATTACTGGTAGTTTTGGATGTTTCATCGAGAAGAGGAGTACCACGGGTGATGATACTACCAATATCGATTATCCCGATTATTCGCCCAAAAACGAGAATTATCCGGTGAGTAAAAAAACGTTGATCATTCCGAGTTTTTTTTAGCCCGCATGAAATTTTCTAATTCGAGCCGGATGTTCAAAATTGAACATGAAATGACGCATGTCGTCTTCGTTTTCCTACCTGTGTAAAACAGACATTTCCTGTCCAAAATTGTAACGTTTATTTCTGCCTTATCTTCAATATATTTAGAATGTTTTAATAATGAAAAACAATATCTAACTTTACCTTACGCAAAATCTGTTTCCAATATAGGAATGTGAAATGTACGAATGTTCTAGCATTTGATTTTCTTGAAGCGTTTTAAATGCGGTTTAAGTGGTTGTTAAAATCTTAAAAGTTCTTGAAAGTCTATAATGCGTGGAATTAAGATCGCAAAATAAATCGACGCGTACAATCGTAAAATTTGATACGCGATTACTCGGCGCGAAAAGAGAGATCTTGCGTTCTCTTTTTCGATTCTCATCAATCAAAAGTTATGTATTCTGTGCGCACTCGCTAGTAGTAACTTACTGCCTTCAAACTGTGTTTGTTTAAGATAATACTATTAAGAAGACAATGTTAGATTTAATTCGCTCCATTATTTTCCAAAATTTCTTTTGCAGTGCTTGTATTTCTTCGAGCATTTTCAAGAAAATTATACTAATTACCATATGTAAATCTCTATATGTAGGTAAAAAAGGAAATTTCTATAATTATGCAATCGAGAAATATTAAATTTGTTCGATGTAACATCAGACAATGAACATCAATGAATTTATTCAATACTGTTATCATTAAAAGCCAAAGAATCACATAAAATACGAATAATTTGGAAGCTATATTAGAAATTTATTTTTTTATATTTGTTTTACAATCATAATCTTTGGCGTAATGCAAAGTGTTTTTTATTAATAATAACACTATATATTGAAATTAAAATAATCTGTTATAATATAAATGTATACATAGTGAGTGCAAAAAGTATTCATATATAGGGAGATACCTTTTTCAAAAAGCAAACATTAATTAACAATTTATTAGCAAAGAATAAAATTGATTTTATATTCCTTATTCTTCAAAATTATTTTACTCAAAAAGATGTATTAAAATATATTTCTTAAAAATGAACGAAAATAAAAAATTATATTATTTAAATGCACAGAAAGTGTTCATACATCGAAAAATTTATTTTCTAAGATCCAGAACACACGAAGCTCTTTTGTTTATGTTAGGACAGAATGTACTAATTGTATAAAATTGCTAATTAATATTTATTTTTCATAAATAAGGCTTTTTTATAAAAATTTTCTTTGTACGAAAATACTTTTTACACTTACTATAAATTAACTATGAAATTAAGAGATAAATATTTTATCGAGAGAGAGAGAGAAAGAGGGGGAGGGAGGGGAGAGAAAGGGAGAGAAAGGGGGGAGAGGAGAGAGAGAGAGAGAGAGAGAGAGAGAGCGCACGAACAAATGTGAAGGTAAAAGAAAAAACTTTAAACGGACATTTTATAAAAGTGTAACTTTAATGCATAAAGATGTATATATTTTTTAAATTATTTTTAATTTTAAAAATAAAAACTTATAATTTTAATTCTTTCCTCTTTTCAATGGACATAATTTAATAAAAGTATTATTGTAATTGTAAAAGAAAATTAAATTTTGCTGGAAATTATATTACTTATTTAAATAAGCATTACATACATCGAAAACTACGCATGGACAAAGACGTAGTTAAAAGGCATATTATTTACAGTTATTATTTTTATAGTACTTCTCACTTTTCAATTCGAACTTCTTCATTCTACAAACATTACAGAACCGAAGAAAAAGCACGTAAAGAATAAAATATAAAAAATAAAAGTTAAATTAAATTTAATAAATCATTTATTCTCTAATTTAGAAAGACAAAGGTATACTTGATTATATAATTTGATTATATAAGTTTTCATCATCTAGATAAACAATAATCGAAAGAAAAGTAATAAAACCATTGATAATGTAACGTTAAATTGAAGAGATTTTAACACAATAATTAAAAATAAACAGATTATAAACAAAGTACAAAATAAATGTATGTTAAAACGATGTAAATACAGAGACAATAAAAGGCTATGTTAAAAGCTACTACCAAATTAATAAAATTATAATAAAGTAATTGTCATCAAGTCAAACGATATCCTAAAGTCGATAAAATTGCATAATAATTTTGCTGTGATAAACGTGACTACTGATAATCATCTATGGGATTCAATAGAAATATCGTAAGACGCTAACGAAAAACTATCAGATACGTATATTACTTATGACTTTTCTTTCAATCAAGTTCTAACAAATTAATATTATAATTTTATATTACTATTTCTTGGAACTTATTTGATTTTAGTTTTATCGTTCGACTTAGTAACAGTTGTTTTTTTATTATAATTTTATTACTTTATTATTCAACTTTCGATGTTTTTAATTTAACATTAAAATGTCAATATCCTTATTATTATTTTTTTTTATCTTGCTCATGAAGATTAATTGTAAGTATAAACGAAACATACCTATATTTGTCTTTTTAAATTATTAGAGAATAAGTTATTTATTATTTCTTAAATTTATTATACTTTTGCTCGTCTTTGGTTATTGTTCCTCTTAATGCTTTGCAATTAATGAATATTTTACATTTATTTTATTTTAATGAATATAATTTCATAAAAAGCTGCAACGAGACTAAGATATCATCTGACTTTTATCAAAAGTAGAAAATGTAAGAGAATGAGAGAGATCACTCATCATAATGCGACACGATTGTAGAAAAATCAGACTGATAAGGGCGCTCATAATAATATAAAACTTTCTTTAAATTAAAAAGAAAACGTATTAGAAAGAAAGAGCATGATTGTACAGGAAATCTGTCAAATGTAATTTTCTATTGGAAATCAATTTTCTTTGCTTCGCCTACATTCGGAAAGAGGAAACCATTATTTTTCTTTCTAGTAATTGTGTTACGACATCAATTTAAATTTAAAAGGACTAATGCATCCAATATTTGTTAATGTGTCTTCTAATTTGACTTTTACTTCTAGTTCTCTCTCTCTCTCTCTCTCTCTCTCTCTCTCTCTCTTTCTTCCTCCACTTCCCTCTCTCCCCCTCTTTATATTCTATGACTTTTATTTTTCTCTGGTTGACGCTTCTCAAATTTCTTCTTATTACTATATATTTATTTTTAATCCCTGTTTTTTGTCACGAGAGCGAAAACATATCTACTTTTCGAGGTACTCGCGCTTAGTACACACATCGATTTTTTGCATGTTTGATCCTTCCTTGAGTACAGGACTGCGTTCAGGAATTATGCCTAGATAACTCCAGATACATTTTTGCTGTAATATATGTAACGTAATCTATAGCTTAGGATTATAGGGACATAATTTCTGAACGTAGCCCAGGTAATCGTAAAACTGCGCGCGATAGTTTAAGAGATGAAATGTTATGCTTACGGGATTACAATGTACTTTGACACACAGAAATTGGCAATTTGTAAATTTTACGGTCATCCTACACGATACTATAGATCGCACTTTAGGCCATTTACCTCGGCCAACTTATCTTAGCTACTGAGATTATTCTTAATAGTCCCGAAATTGTCACATGTACATTGTCCGTGGTTGAATATATTGAACATATTGTCATATTTTACTTTAAAAAACGACATGTTTTATTATACCTAATTGACAAATCTGAATTATTAAAATCTGGCAAATATATCGCTGGAACTAAATATGTTCCGAACATGTCTCGAATGTCACATACGAACTACTTGTTCATTACAATTCTTTTCACATTTCTATTTTTACATCCAGTACATTCGTTTTTTTTTTATATTACCGAATATCGGATATATGCGTATTTTTATGGCGAAGAAGAGTTACTGGTTACTGACGAGTAAAATATCACAAAGAGGAAAAAAAGTCGATTGAGAACCTTTGGTTGTATAATTTTATCACGATTCGATTCGTTGAATTCTTATCTCGTTAATACTGTTATTAAAAGTTTTCTTTTTACCAGTACAGTACACTTTTCTTCAGCATATAATGGCATTGCAAATGTCCAGCGATACAGTAATATATTTATTTCAAGGTAAAAATAAAGGATATTTTAAGCTACAGTCCTGTAAGTGAAAGTATATTAATTTGATTTGTCAGAGAATTAGAATTTAAGAGAGGATAAGAAGATTTGTATAATTAAATTGAAGGCGAAATTTGCGAATTTATTTCAAGGAAAGAAATAAATGGACACAGTTCTTTTTGTTTAAATGTTATTTACTAGAAGAAAAGAAAATGGTTATGGAATACGAGGGGTTGTGGAATATTACAATATCTTAT